AGCAGAGAGGCAAAATTTTCTGGAGGAGTGTAGTGATGTATGAAAATGTGAAAAATAAATTCCCCTTCATGTTAACATACTTATGAAAACAAGGGTGTCACTAGCATTTCTATGTTTATAGCAGCCTTTCACTGGATATTATCCACTTTTCAGTGGATAATGCATTAAACCATTTTTAGCTAGTTTATACTGTAAATTAGCTGTCCTATCACAAGAGTTGCTGTGAATAATGCTATTAAAATGGTACAATAATTCTCTAGTGTCAGCTAGAGAAAGACTACACAAGGAAAGACACTGCTTTTGTGAAATGAAATTGTTACAAGTGTTCAGGAAGTTTGTCAAACCAATCAGCTGTTTTGTCAAGGTAAAATAGTGTAGGCAGTAAAAGGTAGTTATGTAGTAAAATTAGAGAAATAATAGGTAAAGGTATTGATTTAAAGTACACGGATGAAATTATTTATCTGTTTGTTTTATGGATTTTTGCTGCTCATGTTATTTGCTTTGGAGAAGGGGAAGATGTCCTACTTTTCTTTGCTGTGGATGTTCTGAAAGTCTTTGAGAGATCAAGAACTAATTAGGCAAGGGCTGAGATGGGAGACATACAAAGGTCTCTACCACATTATGTTAACCTGTGATCCTGTGATTTTCAGGGGTACATCCATTTGCTTCAAGTGATGTCAGATAGCAAAGTAATCCTGAAGGTGGTTGTGATTCTTGTTCATGATAGTGACTCTGTCAGCTGTCAAGTCAAGTGCTGTATATGAATGTGAAAGTTTGAACAATATCATACATGGTTTGATGATGGCCACATCTCTGTGGTCTCTTGTGCCTCATAACAAAATCAGAGACTATCAAAGAGCAAGGATGTATTGACCTGTTGGTGAATTATTAAGTTAGTGTCTGTCAGCTGAGATCAGCTGAGGCTGATCAAAGGCTGTCCTCGCAGACTGTGGCAAATGGAAATGTGTTCACTGAAACGACAGAGAAAGTTTATTTCTTGAGTGTGATGCTTGTGGATGATCTACTTAAGACGTGGCTCTAGAAAGTATTTTTAGACATTAACAGATTCTGCTGCTACTTGTTTTCAATGCCTTTGATATTATGCTCTAACAGAGAGCCTTAAAAACAAAATTTCTTGTACAGGATGGGACATAAGGAAGGTATAACAGCTTACTTTTTAAAGAGAGTATCTTATCAGCTGAAAAGTAAAAGCTTAGTTTACTGAAGTGAGAAATACTATAAATCCTTCAGGAAGCTGGTGAACAACAATGTGACTTGCTTGGCTTTGCTGGCATGGGTGTCCTTCCTGCTTGTCAAAGACAAGGTGGTTCAAATGGAGAGAACATCTCATCCTTTGCTATATGGTAAACAGTCAGCTTTTTTTTGTTTTCCTCTTCCTTATGAAACCAAGACTTTTCCTAGTGTACAGGAAAAACAGAAGCTTATTTTCTCACTTGAAGCAGGCCTCAGCAGTCAGTTTGACTTAACTCTGGCTGCACTGAGAGTTAAGTTACCTGCACTCACAAATGCTCATTATGATCAACCCTTGGAAATGAAAACATAGGAAGAAAATTCAGCATAAAATATATGTCAGCTTCTTGACTCATCCTTTCATACAATCTCCTAGAAGCAAGAGTAATTTGATCTAGAGTTTGAATGTCTTGGAGATAACCATGCTAAATCGTGATAAGTTATACATAAAATGCATCTGGGCTACCTGACCTGTTAAAAATATTTAATATAAACTATTCATCCATGCGGCAATCAAAGATAAGTTGTATCAGTCAGCACCAAGAAGAGCAGAGCAGATGTGCTACTGTAGCTATGAGTAGCACATGAAAGCCATTTTATGGAAATGGTATGTGAGAGTGACCTTTTGCTCCCTATCAAAAACAAGAACACTAAGGGAACTTACAGTTGGGAGCTACCTAAATGAGGATTATGAAAATGTCCGTTTCATTGTGTAAACATGATTGGATTTTATTTTCTTCTTGTTGTGTATCTTTTCATCCAGCTTCTATCTTATGAAGTTGCTTGGGGTTTGGTTTTCTTTTGGTAGTTTGGCTTTTTTTTTTTTCCCTGTGACAATTGAATGCAAATCCAGCTAGACAGACAATGAGTTTGGTTTATGTCTTTCTCCATCACTCTGGAAGAAAGGGCTCATGTTGTTAATTTGTGATCTTGTACAGATGAAGACAAAGAAAGATTTAAAGTGTCTTAACATGTCTTTTTCTTCCTTAGCTTCTGTGGGTTCCCAAAAATGCCTCTTACTCCCTCTTTTAGAAGAGCATTGCTCCAATGTATCTGCTCATTCAATGTTCTGTTTATATGAAGTTATTAATATAATCCTATAATGACCATGATTCTTTTGTCCTTTGCAAAGCTATTTGCATCCAATCAGAACAGGAGAGTGCTTTATAATTACTGACATTAGAAAGAGAATTGGATTCATCACAGGCCATCTCAAGTCTGTGACTTTCATCTAGAGGATCAGATGCTTGTCTGTGTTTTAAGTGCAGAGTTCCATGATGGTCTCATACAGAATAAAATTATTTGATTTTTCAACTGCATTTGGTGAAGGCTTAGATAAGTTTCTTCTCCTATTCTTCAGTAATCCTTTGCTTTCTCAAAATCTCATTGAGATCTCTGAAAACAGACTGAGAATCAATATGTAAAAGCCATGATTATTGAGTAGTTAACAAAACCCAAAGCTAAGTCTGACTGGAAAATTATAATAAATAGCTAACTGCTTATCCCTATAATTAGAAAATTCTTAGCTAAATTTCTTGTTATAATAACAATTATTTAAACTACCATTAATCTTTAAATCCTGAATCCAGAAACTAGAAGTAAAGGCAAATTGCTGTGCAAGATCTAAAAATTACTTCACTTTGTGCCTCTTTTTAGTGAATTTTAACAGGAGAAAACTTCAAAGGTTATTTTCTGGTAGGCCTCGTTAATTCAGTTTCAAATGTCTGTGATCCTGAAGCTATGTTGTTCAAGCTTAATTGGGTTTATCTACTACCAAATCGACACTTCAATTAGCCACACATCTGCAGTAGTTTTACACTCAGTCCATTGCTGTGTAAAACTAATCCTCTCTAATAATCTGAATTTAAATAGTAGTATGTATGGTCTGCAGAATCAAAGAATGTCTACTAGAAGAACATCTAGTTCACATAGGGAAAAGGATGATTCTCCACAAATTGGTCTGCATGTGGAGAAACATTAGATTTTTAGCATTTTTTGTAGATGATTAAGTTTTCAGAATAACTTCATTTAATTCTTTTAAGAGAAGTATCATATCATGCAAAGAACCAGACATACTGAATGGCTGCGTATTGTGCTGCACAATGGGACTCCTAAGAGCACCCAGGTGTCAAACCATGGTAAGGACAGAATCCAACTCATAGTCTTGCCCTTTGTGTTTCCTGTCCAAGGCTGAAGAAGATAGATAAAATTCCACAGGAAATTCCCTATTCAATGTGCATTTTATTGTGTACAAGAGTGATTTAATTCGGTATTGGAAAAGTTGGTTGTTTCTTTGAACACCATTGGAACTGAGTTTCACACTTGCTTTGGGATTCCAGTAGTCAGGTAGCTACCTAGATGTATATATTTTGGGATGACTGCCAAGCTTAGTGGATCCTTAGATCTACTTAGTTTCAGATCAGCTTAGTTGAAACTGAGCTGTGGAAAGGATTTCCATCCCAATTAATATCTTCTGTAGAATCAACCTTGTGTTAACTTAGTGATTGAAGCCATGTTTATGAAGTAGCATAGCAGATGGCAACAGATTTCAATGACCTTCTTGTAGCAGGTAGAGGGAATCTCTCATTCTAAGATGAGCACTACATCAACTATAGGAAGAAGTAATAGTAATTGAAGGAAAATATTTGTTGATATAAACTTTTCTTCTTTTCTATATTTTTTTATTCTTTCATTTGGGCACTGTAAGCAGCACTGCATTCAACAATTCTGCATCCCTCTGGAGTTCATTTGGTGGTAGCAGTCTCTATGGTGCTATGATGCAATCTTTTGGTGGTCTTATGCTATCAATAACACCACTACCTTTAAAAAAATCTGTATTTTTTATTCAGACTCTAAACCAGCTCCATTTTAGATGCCTGTGTGTGGAAAAAATGATGGTGCTTCATTTATTTTTTTCATTTCTGCTTTTTTTTTAAATATATCTTTGCTAATTTCTTGCAGTGGAGCAGAGTTTTGTTATCTTATTGATGTGGGAATACAGTGAAAAGTAGATGTTTTTAAAAGAAACTGTTTATATGAATAAGGATATAATTTATTATTTAGTGTATTAACATGAAATTACATTCTCCTCTTGATTCAGTAGGTGCATGTACAGTGAAAAGAACACAATTGAAAGTCTATGGTGTTTGAGTTTTGTTAGCTTTTATGTTACATAATCTTAATTTCACAACAGCAGTTCTCACAGCAAGCTAGGAACACAAAGACCATATTGTATTTAAACAAACTGTCATATCCTTGTTGCAGTCATGAGTCTGTGAAAGCAACGTAGGTTTTTGTGCTTTAAGGAGAGGCTGAAGCAACAGGCAACTCATCAGTGCAAGCACCACAAGTTGCCTGACCCAGTGTGTCTTTCTGGTCATTGCCTGAGAAGAAGTTACCTCTGCTTTGCTTATTATGCAATAATATATTAGGGAGATGGAGGACAAGGGAATGGAAAGGTACTCTTTTAAAGGTCTTTACAACATGAGTATTTAACTGAATGACGCTCTTGTCCTTATTCAGTGATCTACAACTTCCTCTTATTAGTATCATTACATCTTTCACAACGTTTCTAGATCTGCATAAAATAGGTTACAGAGAGTGTGTTTGTTCAATAATGCTTCACGTGGAAAGTCAGGTAAATGACTTTCAAAAATAAAGTGTTAGTTTCATAGTTAGTAGAGGGTATTAAAAGATTGTGAGATAATTGCAAAACAAATTATTAAAACATTTCTTTCATTTTTTTATAGATTCTGGACAACCAGGAAGTCCAGGTCACAATGATCCTGCCAAGAATCCACCAGGTAAATATCAGTTCCAGAACATGTGCATCTAACATTGTTTGAGAACAATGATACTACTGATAATAGCTAAAGAGAGTATAATTGGTCAGCAATCAATCTTGCACTGTCTTATATATATACTTATATATATATAAAAGTATATATGATCAGGACAAGTTGTGATACTTTAGATCCTCTAAACTAAAGGTGGTGCCTTAATTGTAGTTTCATCAGCATTCATTTAACCTAAGGAGTTTTTCTTTCATCTCATGGTTTTTAAAAGTTTTTAAGTGTGGATCGGTAAGGAGGAGTAAGGAAAGCAAGGAAACACGATCCCAAATGACTTTATTTTTGTAAAAGTCTTCCAATGCTACCAGTTTTCTTTCATCTCAGACAAAAGGCAATTGAGCTATGTCTAAACTCTGTGACTGAGCTACCAGCTTTTTTGCTGTTCATATAGGCTTTATAATATACAAGTGTGTTAATTTAAATTTTTTTCTGTACCAGCTGAGAGAAGTCTTTGAAGATGTTGATGTGTCATGTCTAGTGACACTTGATATTCCTTTGAGAGAGATGTTAATGTTAATGGTCCTTTCAATGATTCTTTTAAAACAAAAATGCAAGAGAAAATCAAACCCAGGCTTTGCTATTCCAGTCTGTTTAGACAAAAAGTTCCTTGAATTTTTATGAGGTTATCCTTCTAATCAGTTGCACTGTGCTAGTAAATCTTGTACAGATCTGCCATGTTATGAATTTTATCAGAATAAGACAAACAATTGTGACAGACACATTATCACTTTTTAATGGCCAAGGAGTGACTCCACCCACCACCATCACATTGTATCTTCTTATTTTAACTCTCAGAAGATATGTGTGTCTGAAATAAGCTGCAACTAACTCAGTTTGATCCTCTAAATCCAAAATGAATCATATTCTGACCAGGATATAATTTTGTGTTGCTGAGCTGTGAACATATACATGGATATTTTCTGAGTCTGTTACAATATTAGGATAAACTGTCTGCTTTGTAGTTGGACAGTTTTGTAGTATGCATATGATCAAAGTATTCTCTATCTGTGAAATATGTGATGTGTACTGCCTGTGAATATCCAAAAGTGGGAGAACCATCAAAGATCGTTATACAAAAAGTCATATTCCTGTAATATAAACTCCAGATACACATACTTGAAGATAGCTGATGTATTTTAGAGATAAGAGAGCAGAACAAGTCAAATAACATCATTCTAAGCTCTAATGCAAGTGATTTTATTTTTTCTTCAAGGGATGATGAAGGCTTGTTGTAAGTTTCGATTGGAGACTTTGATGCTGTTATTTTCCGAACTCTGTGGGATGTTGAGAGTGAAATTTTACTTTTATATTAAATACATGCTATACATTATGTAGAGTATTGGCTGAAAAACCCAAAGGAGCAAATTTTCTCATAAAATAAATATGAAAAGTTTCCCTATGGATAATTACAGTTTTTGAGACTTGGATTATGTAGCTTAGAGAATTTATTTTGCTTTTAGAATATCTCTGTGAGTGCAAGAAAAGCCAAATGCATTACCTTGCTCCTTGTAATTTTGAAAGATTCTTTGTACCTTCTGGGTTTGGGAAGGTGAAGGCAGGGTCAACTCTCCTTCAACAGGTTTTAAAATTCTAGTTTTGAGGTATTATTTAGCATTTGGAACAGGAAGGTAGAAGTACATATTTTACTAGTGAGGGTCACACCCTATAGTGACTCCAATCTCCAGCCTTCAGCTTCAATTCCAGTAAGGACTAATTTTGTGGCCAGTAACACAGCCTTGAGGAGGCAGCAGACAAGCTGTATAGGCTTTTTTATGGGCAGACTTATGGGTCAAGATGTAACATCCGACAAACTACTGTTTCAGAAGGTGGAGGGACATAGAAAGCAGATAAATCTGTTGCTGATTTCACCATGGAACTTTCTGTTTAAAATATAAGCATAACACTTTCTCATGATTGGGAGTCACTGCACCTGGTATTATCCCTTTGTCTGCTGCCATGTGGGGACAGAAAATAGAAACTGTGCCTTGCTTTAAGCAGAGACAGAAAGATAATTGAATGTCATCTGTTGGAGGATGACTTTCTAGCTTTGTCAGCTTCCCTGTATAATACTGTCTTGGAGTTAAACTAGCAAGGTGAAAGTGCTGTGGTTTGTGGGACAGCAGAATACATTCTGGGGCTGTGCAGCAGGATGAGAAGGAATTGCATACCATTCAGCTCCTCTGGGAAAAGCACTACTGTCCTATTCTTTCTTACTAAACTTACTCTCCTATTCTTTCTTCTCACGATTTTTATTGTTAGAGCCAGACAGTCACTTCTGTCAGAACCCTGGAGGATATCCACTCTGAGGTTTGTTTTCAGTCCCAGGCCAGGAGTATGTGGACTGGCAGTGCCAAGAGGCTTGTTCTTCCATCATGTTTTGTTCTAGTGCCTGTATGTCAAGGAGCCAGGATGCTGGCAAGGGGTGTGTGCTGTTAGCTTTTGGATGCCACCACCTTCACAAAGATACTGCCAAGGAAGAGGATGCTGGAAACTGAGTGGTAGTTGGCAAAGCCGTTGGTGTTAAGAGTGGATTTTTTCTAGGGTTGGCAAGACTGTTGCATTCTTTAGGGTGTCTGGTAATTTGCTGTCCTAAGAACAAGTTGGAGAGAAGGTAGTGTCACTTGCCAAAGAACATTAAGAGCATTTGTTGGAATTCTTTACAATATGTTCCTAAAAATATACTGAATATTTTGATAGCCCAATGCAGCATCAAGACCTGTGGTGTAGCTTGTGTTGAAAATGGTATGTAGCTTTTGTCGCTAAATCCAGGGGTATCCGCCTCTGAGTTTTATTTTTCAATAACTTTGAATTATGTATTTTATAAAAGATATTTTAAAATATATATTTATATTAACATATTTTTGTAAAGGTTGAGTCTTGCTTTTCGAGACCTGGGTTGCAAATTTTGCTTCTCTGCAAGTACTATTAAGTAAGTTCCAGAGAGATGAGCAGAATTGAACTGAGAGAGGAAAAACGTCTGAACACTATTATTGTCTGCACCAGCCTTGATGTTCCTGGTATCTAAAAGTTTGTGCTGCACTAGCACAGCCCTAACTATTAAAAGTTTATATTATTTAAAAGAGACTGGGGGCAGGAACAAGGCCCCATTGAGGATGTCTGAACAGATAAAGGCACACTTGATTAGAAGTTTGAAAATACTTGCAGTTTTGCACACAAAAAACAAACACCAGCAAATCACCAAAACCCAAATGCAACCGAAGTACTTTAGGTCTGTCTTGTTTCTTACTTTGTACTCAGAATGCTCTGAGCTATGGCTGAAGTAGTCTGTTAGAGGTAACCTAGTATGCCAGTTTCAGTGCAATGCTGCATTATTATTTGCTCCCTGCAACTCCTGTAGTTCTTTTATACAGCTTAAGAAAATCTAAAAAATCAGCCTTCACAAGTGTATCTAGAAATACACTTGGTGTGACAGGATATGTACTGAAGACAGAAGATGTCAACTTTCAGTAAATTAATCTGTTAAGCATGAGAAAATTATGAGGGTGAGTAAAAAGAGAACAATATCTATATCTGTAATTAAGCTAATGATATTGACCCTGACCATAACAATATGGTCTTCAGAGATACAGTTCTTACTAGTCTGTTCTTATAGGTGAGGATTTTCTGGATTTTCCTTTGCTTTATTATTTTTTCCCTTTCTGCCTGCTGGCCACAACTACTCGATATTAATAAGATATCTTGCTATTTGCCATTGGTTTGAGAGTACTGCCTGGCAGGTTTGATTTATACCCCAGCTTTAACACAACTGTGTCCAGTTGTTGCTGTGTTGCTCAGATCTTTATTAGCCTTTTAAAGCTACTAAAATAGGGGTAAGAAATAGCAATGTTGATAGAGTTAGACACTGTCTGGATAGGACAGTAAGTAGACTCCATTTGCTGTAATGCTTGCAACCAATCTTTTTATATGGATGCCGTCTAGATTTTGGAACCGTTTTTGTCCAGCATTGTGGAATACAAAAGATAGCTTTACAGAAAGTGCAAAGGAAACCTAGCTATCCTGATACAGAGAGGTATGAGCCTTTTTGGTGGGGGAAGATGAGTGTGTTCAGATTTTTCCTTTGATCCAAGCAGATGAATTCAGAGGTTACTAGAGCTCTGTTTCCTAGCAAGTGGCAAACACTAGATGTTTTATTTGTTTGGATTTTTTCTTGATAGAATTTATTCCATTTTAGCTGGTTGAAAAAATATTTTAATAAAAATTTTTGTGACTCTACAAGATCAGTCAGGTTGCAGAGAACTCAAGTTTGAGCCAATGTGATGATGAATATTAAATTATTTGTATGGGGTAACACTTTTAGGTGAAGAGATGCCTCTCTGCCTTTGGTTCTCGCATTGATTCCCTTCTTTCCTCCACAATAACCCATGATTTGTTGTCAGGAACTTTGCCTAAGGATAAAATCCTTATTCTGAATGATGCCCAGGTAGCTGAAATCCCAGCCTCAGGCTCACTCACTGTCCTGGAATTTTCTTTTCCATTTTCCCCAGAAATTTTATTTTAGGAAGACCTGAGTGAAATCATCAACTCTGAAGTTCGTTTTGTTTTGTTTTTTAATTAAAGAATGTGTTGCCAAAAAGCTTGCAATGAGCCTCAATTACCTCTCAATATGCAAATCTATCTTGCAGCTGTAGAGGCCCAAAGGCTTTCCTTGCACTTTCATATGACCTAGCAGCCATAGAGAGAATATTTTTTTTTTTGTTCAAGACCTTAGAAGTGTGCAGTAAATTCACCTATATATTTCTATCTTGGATAGATGTATTTCAGTTTTAAGTTTTAGAATGCGTAGTTTCAGAAATAACCTCTGAAGATGAATGTGGTCTCAACCTTTGCACCCTTTTGGAAATGCAATTAACATCTTTCAGTTTTGAATGTCTCAGACCACAGATGCTTTCATTATTTTACTCTATTGCAAGCTACCCTATAGTGGATGGAGA